GCAACGGACCTCCTCCATCAACTCCTCGTAAGGCTGCCTCCCCACAAACAAGTGCCACACTGCTAGGCCCAGAGAAAAGGCATCCGCAGCGAAGTCTTGCTTGGCCCCATCGCCCAGGACAAGGAAATCCACAGGCGTATTTTCCAAGGTGGTAAACTGATCCAGCCCCACCGGTTGGCCAAAGGTCTCGGGAGCCAGGTCGGCGGTTCCAAAGTCGGCGAGTTTGACGCAGAGTGGGAGGGAGGGAGGGAAGCGCAGGCGGTACACGTGCAAGCCGAGCCCGTACCGTACTTCCACCGCCCCCGTGGCTGGATTGCCTACGGTGCCTGGGCACGGGGGGGTCTTCTGAGGAACGTTTGGGGCGGGGCAGCGGCTGTCCTTGCTCGTACGGTGAGCGTTGCTCTTGTCGCAGCCGGCTGGCCAGGTGTCTTCCATTATGGAGCGCGGATCCTCTGAATGGCTCTGCCGCTCCTGCAGGACGCGGGAAGAGCCTAGAGGCATGTCTTTGTCGGGGAAGGTGGAAGCAGGAAGGGAGGAAGCAACGGAGGCAGGAGCCAAGAAATCGGCTAGCAGGAAATTGAGGAGCTTCAGGTCATAGTGACGCATAGCGTAAGTCTCCCGCGCCGCGTACAGAGCAAAGCACATTTGAAAGAGGAGGAGTCGAGTGAGGCCAGGGGGCAGGGCACCGAGGGGCCGCTCCCGCAAGAACTTCTCCAGGTCGCCATGTCGACAAAGCTCCATACGAATGAGTTGCAAATCACCCTGAGCAACCGTGGATCGCGACGGGACGGAGGGAAAGACCGGTGGCGGCGGCAGAGCGTGCGTGGAGGAAGCAAGTGACGCCCATCCTTTTCCTCCCGTGTGTCTCAAGAATGCCTCCGATCCCTGTGCGACAGTCCCCTTGTGGGCATTGGCCTTTGCTCGTACAACGTACCGGTGAAAGATGGCCGGTGGACACTCCCAGGCCTCTCGGGGGGCGTGCTGCGTCCGTAAGACACCATAGGTCTCAACATGGTTGGGGCAGATCCCTCGTCGCACCAGCCACGACATCAAAATGGAAGCGCGGAGTTCTTGGGCGAGAATGGCGGCGTTTCCACTCGCGGTGATCGCGTTCACGTCCATGACGGACAAGGCTTCTACCCGCCCTCCTCTCCCTCCTCGTTCCCGTTCACCGTCCTTCGCCCACACTTCATACACGGTCTTATAGGTTCCTTCCGAGAGGAATTTTCCGCAAGGAAATTTCTCAGCGATGTGGTCCCAGCCCACCACCACGTCGTGACGAGGCGCCTGTTTTTTCTCGCCATTTTCCCCTCCTTTCCTACTCCCCTTCTTTTCAAAACTCGAGTAGATGCGCGCTTCAGCATGCAAGAGGGAGACGGCCCATGTCCTCGAGACCGACCCCAGACTCCGCTCCCGTCCCCTCAATTCTTGGACGGACAGGAACTCCAGGCACGTCGCAAGGAGCTCCTTGCCCAGGAGGCCCACACCGTGCACCAAAGGACCGGGGGGCTGGTCGGAGGACTCGACAAGGGAGGTGCGGTGGAGACTGCGGGCAGGGGGAGCATCGACAAGCATGAACGAATCTTCTCCATGCGCTTCCCTCCCCGACAGGGGCTCGGACGCGGGGATGGAGGTGGCGAAGGAGGCGAGGCTTCGACGTGCCCACGCCTCACGAAGCCCATGTTCGTGGTCCCGCCCCTCGTCCCACCCACCTTCCTGCATGGTAGTCTCCTCCACCTCCCCCTCCTCCTCATCCTCCCTGCTTCCCTCACTGATCCGCCTGTGCACAGCCGGCGTGGACAGGAGCAAGGACTTCTCTCCCGGCCCGCTCTTTCCTCCCTCCTCGGAGGGACTGGCCACCCCGCCCAGGAGGCTCAACCCCCCCAAGGCCGAACACAAGGAGGCTCGGCTTTGGTGCGGGGCTCGTCGAGAAGCGACGTCCATCTTCGTCCCTTCCGTCTGTTCGCGCTCCTTCGTCGGCCCCCCCGTTGCTTCCACGGCGGGAAAAGGCGCGAGACAGGGTAGGCCGCCTTGGCGCCATGCTTCCAGGTGCTGTTTGATCAAAGAGGCGCGAGCCGCCAGCCCCATGGAAACACGGCGGGCTTTGGCCGCGGAGGCGCGTTTTTTCCGGAGGGCAGCGGCAGCTCTGGCTTCGTCTTCCTTCTCACCCGCGTCGTCCTCCGGCTGTCGCTGGCAGGCACCGCCCTCAAACGGCCAGGAGGGAGGACTGAGCGTCAACGACCCCCTGTGCGTCCCTCCATTCCCTCCATCCAGGCCCTGGTTCCTTCCCCGCGCCCTGATCCCGTCCGCTTCCAGAGCGCAACCCCCCGACTGGAGGGAGCGTGGCCTTAAGTCGTCTTCCCCCGGCCCCAGGTACCTCCTCCCCCCTCCTCCTTCGGCACCTCCACTGTCGCCCTCCTTCCCAGGCGACCGGGGCGACAAGGGCGGGGAAGCATCTTCCTCTCGATGGAGCGGGCGTGCCGGACGCGCTAAAGAGAGCCGCCGACTGCCCCTTCTCACCTTCTCCGGAGGCTCCAATACAGGCACGGGAGGGGTTGTCTGGGACAAGGGAGGGGAATGCATCCCGTACCGCAAGTGAGACGGCAAGGCCGAGATGCACCCTTCCTCCCCCCCGCCTTGATCACCTCCCTCCGCCACGGAGGATTGGAAACGCAGGGTCAAGCGCTCGATGGAGGCAGAGCTGGCGCGGGTCGATTCTCCCCAGTCCCGACGCTTCCCGCCCATGGGGGTTTCGAAAGTGTGGGGGCCGTGGCTGTGGCCCTGGCTGTGAGGATCGCCCGGGTATTGCAGCGGATGCAGGGAGGAATGCGGCACGGAGGAGCTCAAGCGGACCGAGGCCAGCCACAGCGCCCCGTCCTCCCTCCCGCCCTCCTCCCACCTCTCCATGGGGGAAAGGGCGGTGGGTAAGGGAGACACAGACCCTTTTCTAGAACCGTTCCCGAGGTTCCTGCTCGTGTACGGAATGACCGAGACGGGGGATACCTCGCTCCTCCGCACCCTGTCGCTCCCGGCCACTTCAGAGGGGGACATCGGCTGCGCCTGAGCCATGTTTCTGCCCATAACGGGGTAGGACGCGGTGCTGGCCGTAGTCTCCATGCTGCGACGGGTGTGCAGGAGGAAGGAGGACTCCTTGCCGTCACTGCCAGGCGCGTCGTCAGCCCTATCGGAAAGGAGGGAGAGCCCCCCCCAGCTTATCAGACTGTCCTGTTCCCCCTCGCTTGCTTCGGCCTTTGTGGGGCGAACCCTGATCGCCACGGCCGCCGGTGTGGTCCCCCAAGCCATGTCTCCTTCTCTGTCCCACGGCCCTGTCCCGCGCGTCTCCAAGCGCGCTCCAACCGGCTGGCTGTCGTCATCTTGGCCTTGAGGTAAACCCGCATTGTGGTACCGACGGGGACTGGCGCTCTTTACGTGAAAGATGCCTTCGGGGATTTTCGGCTCTGCGTGGACGACCGAGCTTCGTGCGTTCCATGACGCGCCATCCCGGCTGTCGCCCAGACCAGTGCTGATTTCAGGGTGAGTCTCGACGTCCCTCTCGCGGAAAGGGTCCTTGCTCCTGCGGCCAGACTCGTCACAGGCATCCCCAAGGGTACGGGTACTGCTGCTGCCGTCGCCCCTTTCCCTCCCCGTACAACTATGAGCGCTCTCACTGCTATCTGCGCCCAAGGCCAGGGCATGCAGCGACTGAATGACGACCCCGACCTCCCCCCCTTCCTCCTGTGCCCCACTTGTATCCACCCTCCTTCGCCCCCTGGTCGTGGCCCCGTCCTTCCGTCCCTTGTAAGGCGTTCCCTCCTCCCGCGGCGGCAAAGGCTCTGACAGGTCCTTCTCCTCCTCGTCCACTGGAGCCTTTTCCAGGGCGTCTTCACTCCAAATCGGGACCGGCGTGGGGCTCCTGCCCCGGGACGCGCCCTCCCTCCGGCTTCGCACACTGTTCTCCCTATTGCTCCTGTTACTCTCGGCACCGCCAAGGCTCATGGTACCACTGCCACTGCTGCTTCGACTGGTGCTGCTCCTGCTGATACTTTCCGTTGCGTTCTGGTCGCGAGGCTCTGTGGCCTTAAACGTGGCAACTTGTCCATCCTCGTCCGCAACGTCTCCGTCTCCATCCCTTTCCTCCCGGGCTGCCCGCCATTGCCACAGCTCCCTTTTCAGCTCCCCTGCCCTGGCTTGTGAGACTCGGTAGCACACTCGCCCCCCGTGCATCTGACCCTGAAAGCCAAGTTGCAGCAACACGTACCGCACCCGCGCCCTGCGCAGAGGGGCCCACGCGCCGGGCAGAAAGAGCACGAAACCTTTCCCAAACCCAAAACGCCATGCCGTTTCCCCTCCTTCTCCCCCCTTTTTCATCTCGGCCGCGAGGTATTCCAAATCGTCGGTCTCGGCTTCGGCAAAAACGGTGCTGTAGTTGGCACCGGGCCCGTTCCCATTCCCCCCCTGGCCTCCTTCCCTCCCTCCCCCGCTTTTACGTGAGGATCTGCCAGGGGTGCCGACCCTGTGGAGTTTAGGGGTGGAGCTTGGGAAGGGTCGAGCGATGGAGGGAGAGGAGGCGGTGCCGGAGGTCGCACCGGAGGCGGGGGCCCCGGTGATGGAAAACGTCCCGGATGAACGACGCGGGTTGCGACGCAACGACGGTTTAGGGGCCAAGGACAAAGAGGAGTCGCCGAGGTCCACGGTGGAAGCCGTCTGCTCTCCCGCCCCATTGCTGGTCCCTGCTGCATCCTCCGGGTAGTTTTTCCGGCCGCTCCTATCGACGGCGACGGCCTTGGCGGCCCGGCGTGCCGAGGAACGCAAGGTTCGTGAAAAGGTAGGAGGGGCTGACGGGGTAGCGGCGAGTGCAGATTTGGTCGAGGAGGAAGTGGACGAAGAGGAGGCAGGAAGGGAGGAAGAAGGGGAGGAAGGCATCGGCAAAGGTGCAGTACCGCTGGCTGTTTCGGGTCCCTCCCTTGCAGTCCTCTCTTCCTTGCGGGCCGACACCCCCGACCGCCCGGCGGTTGTGGTGGTTGGGATCGAAGTCGCAAAGGAAGGGGTAGCCTCTCCCAGACTGCCGGCGCGTCCCTCCCACGTCGTCATGCCTGGCGCGAGCAAGCCGGTGGACAAGCGGCGGGACGACCGTCTGGGGATGGGTTTGGCTGCGCGTGGGATCCCGCCAGCACCACCCGTGGGAAGTTTTGTGCTTTTCCCTTGCGACTGGGCGGTTGCTAGGATTGTTTTAGGGGCCACATCCAGGTTTGCCGGCAATGTGTGGCTGGAGAAGAAGGGGGGTAGCGTCGACGAGCCGGTCAGCTGGAGGGAAGGGCCTTGTCGGCGATCCTCCGAGAGGGAGAGGGTTCGATCCAGAGCCGAGAAAGCGGCCGTTCCTCCATCGCCTGCCGTCCCATGTTCCGTGGAGCGGTCGTCCGGGTGTGCGTCGCCGATGGTTTTCGACTCGGGTGGTGGCCGTGAGGAAGGGAAGGACGCCCCGGCAGCAGAGGAGCAATTCTTCTTGCGGACCACGGGGCTGAACAGACGGGTTGTTTTCGACAGCGAGGACGATTCCTCCCGAGGGCTTCCAGGCACGACCCGTTTGGCCCGCCGGGATGTGTCACTACTGGCACTGCCGCAACTCTCACCATTGCTGCTGCTACGACCATTGGTGCTGGTTTGTGAGCATAGCGATCCTTGCGAAGACGTGAATTCCAACTCAGGATCCATGACTGCCAAATCCGGTGCAGGCGATGCTTTGGTCCTGGCGAAGGCCATACCCTTTTGCGAAGGAGGGGATATCGGCGGGGAGGACGCTGTCTCCTTCGCTGCTGCGTCCAAGTCCCGATTTGTCAAGGCCCTTAGAGGGGTGCGTGACCCCCCAAAATGCCTTAGCATACTCACGTTGCCGCTCTTGCTGCCTTTGATCTTCATGGAGCTGCTGGCTTTTGCCTTAACGGCTGTGCCGCTACTTCCTGCGCGTTTCAAAGCCGTCCCGGGGCCAGAAAGGCTGATGCCGCCACGGCCTACGGAATCGCTCCCTTTCCCTTTCTTTTTTTTGCTGGCCGTAGCATAAGTCGTCAATGCGGTGGGTTTGACCGGTGATGGGGATGGAGAAAAGGTAGCTAGAATTGTAGGCGTGGGAGCTTTAAGCACTGACCCTGGTTCAGCTCCAGCAGGTGTAAATTTTTTTCTCCCATAGGTCCGTTGTACTGAGGAAGGAAACATGGTTGTTGACTTGGACAGGAGGGAGGGGTGATCCCTCCACTCGCCTCACAACAGCACAAGGTAGATAAATCCCAATGTTATCTGCGTTGGTTGTTTGACTGTTTGTACGAGGGGGCAATGGAAAAGGTCATTTTTAGTGAACCGATAGGCGCAGAAAAGAGAGGGAGGGGGAAGCTAAGGTTCATGTGACCATGGGTCTGCCTAAAAATCGCCCAAGAAGACACAAACCAGGTCATTCCACAATTCCAAACCCACGATGACATGTCCATGACCATATTCCTAAGTCCTCGCAAGGGCATTTTGGGCTGTGGAAATGAAGGGGCACACACCAGACAACGCGACACTCTTGTCCTTTTTCCTGCGCTTCGCGGGGCAGTCGACGGGCCACCTCCCCCCCCATTGCAAGCCCGCATTAATTCGCTCAAAAAGCTTCAAGTTCTTTCGCCCCGTCTTGGCGAGGATCCATCGAAACCTACGTCCAGGTTGTGACCTGTGCATCGCCCCGTGAAGTTGTGCCCAGCGGGAACGCATGCTTCCCAAAGTAGCGTATGTGACAAGAAGAGCTGGTTGTTAGCCTTAGCAACGCTTAAGACAGATATGATCCGATCTTGTAGGTCGCATTGCACACTCAAGCAATCCAATCTTAAGTCATCGAACCATTGGTATCAGCGCATTGATCCTGCGGTCGTTTGCGACGGTAGACACTCCATGTACGGCGTAGTGGTCAAGATCGGCTCTTCTTGTCTTCTTTTGGGGGTACAAGGGACCATCATAGTTATCTTTGAGAGAAGGTATGTCAGTACGAAGCAATAGAAACCTCAGGGAGAAGCAGCTTTCGGTGGGAACTATAAGTCAGCGTCCTTATGTTGTAAGACTTTATGAGCGTATCGACACATGGAAGCTTGGCTTGAGGTGGCTTCGAAGGCGTTCACGAAGCCGATTGTGGTTTTCGACACGCTTTTGTGCCTCTCGTCCCGAAAAAATAAATACATCACTTTGCCAGGTTTTTAAACATTGATACCATTAATGAGATGTTCCTTTTCTTACGGCCTATGCCTTTGCATGCATACTTAACAAATGACCCTCTGGCCTCTCCACCTACATTCCACACTATTTGTCCTACAAATTATTCAACAGGTACGTGCTGTCACCCGCGAAGTGCGACGTCGCCGGTATCAACGCTCCCAGCATCAATATCAACCCTGCCATTCCCAGGAAATATCTCTCACCCCCAACTTCTTCCACTTCGTCCATGCATGGCACCGCTTTTCGCGACCAAAAGAATCGGACCACCAAACCCGCAAAAAACAGGTCCAAGCGCCCTTGCCAAATGCCCGCCGCCACTGTCCCCCAGAACGTAAACGTCGAGGCCGCCGCAGCCGTCCGCCGGCCGAGAAGGGCCTCCACCATCCGCGCTCCGTCCAAGCGGCCCATGGGCAAGAGATTCAAGGCGTTGAACATGACACCCCAGTAGCCTGCCAACGCCAACGGGTGCAGGGTCAAGGCGGCATGTCCCGGATCGACTACCGCAAAGGCCCCCGGCAGTATAGCGTTGGTCATCTCAGCCACGAAGGTAGAGGCCTGCAACAAGGCCAAAGGCAAGGCGGGGGCAAATTCGCCCCCCGCGGGCAACGCGCCAAGTTTGGTGAGCCAGAGCCCGGCTCCGAAGACGCCGTAACTCACCAAGGAACCCAACAGAGGGCCCGCGGCGGCCACGTCGAAGAAGGCTTGGCGGGTTGGGGGGTAAGATTTCAATTGGGACAGGCTGCCCAGATAGCCAAACCAAGGGTCGAGCAGAGGCACGAGGGGCCCCAAGGCCACATTGAACCGGCGGGCAGCCAAGTAGTGCCCTGCCTCGTGGGCAGCGATCAGGCCGGCGAAAGGGAGCAGGACCGGAGGGATGCCGACCGTAACCGCCGGAAATTCGGAGACATGGGCCCAAAAGCCGAGAAAATCCCGGTCCAGGCGTTCAAAGAGGGGGGGAGAGACAAAGCGCAAGGTTTCCGAGGTTTGCAGCAAAGCCCCCATCCCCAAAGAGGCCGCACGGACGATGGGATCGTCCAAGACGCTGGAGTCGTCCGGGACCACCCCTTTCGACACGGCCAAGATGGCAAACCGCCCTTGCGCCAACTTGCCCAGAAAGCGAGGTATAAGCTCTCCAATCAGGCGCAGATCCAACCCTTCTTGCATCAGCTCCTCCTCTGAGAGGTCCCCGTCCCCAGGCCGTGCCCCCCGCCCGCCCGAACCCACTTCCGGCGGCCCTCCGTCCTCATCAAACTGGTCCATGGCGGCGTCCATGGCAATGTCCTCCAAGGCAAACAAAGTTTCGGGCGGGAAGCGGAGGAAGAACAAGGAGACCGCGTCCGTCAAATTGAAGTACTCCAAGCGTTGGTTCAACACCTCGCGCAAGGCCGGCGTGCTCAAGGGAACGCCGGACGGTGCTGTCCCCACCTCCCCCACCATAACGTGGAATTTGGCGTCGAAATCCACCACGTAATTCAAGAGGAAAGCCCCCCCCGCCGTTTTCCCAAACACTTCCGTGCGCAGGCTCTTCCAGACATGTTCCGGCACCGGGGCCACCTCCCCGTCCTGCATCCCGCCCTCCGCCCCCATCTCCGCCCCTGGGAAGATCGATTGGAGGAACGATTCCAACAGGCCGTCCTTGACCTTTCCGGCGTCCGTCTCCTCCAACATAAGGGCCGTCAAATTCATCCCCGCGGGCGGAGGATTCAAGGATCGAGCCAGCAAGGCGGCGGCGTCTTCCTCACTCTCCCTCCCGCCCTCTTTCCCGCCTTCCTCCGTCTCGATCATGCGTTGCAAAGCCCCCATGGCGCGTTGGAAGGATTCGTCGGGATTCAATGCTTTCCGACGGATGCGCCGAAACACCACGTCCGGCATTCCGGGTATGCTTTCTTGGCTTCCTATCAATTCGTAGGCAATCAGGCCCAGGTCGCTAGCATCGCTCTGGTTCCTCCCGAGGGGAAAGGAAGGAGGGGAGGAAGGGGAGGAGGAGAAGGGGGAGGGCGAGGGAGAGAGGGTGTAGTATGTCTCCTCCTCCTCCTCCCCCCCCGCCGACA